GGTTTAAGTAAGTTAACAAAAACCAAAACCATCCAGTGTTGCACAAGTTTCACAAGGTCATAATGGAAATCTGTCACAGAACAACTTAGTTCCCTCAAGTCCATAAGTAGCATCTTAACAGATGTCCATTGTCTTGACAAATGTACTGTAAATATTCTTCTCTGCAAGCTTCAGTACATTTTCATTTTAAGAGGAAAGGCACATGTCACTGGCTTTGTTCCCAGGCTAGTCACATAAGAAACTCCCCTTTTTTTTTTCCCAGCAAAGTGGGATATTTTGTCACAAGATGTAAAATATGCCCAATATTGAACACTTTTTTTTCTCTCCACAAGTCAGTAGAAGAAAACAACTTGGACTTCACTAGTTGGAAACTAACGATAGTTATCATACAGCTTCTCTTCTTTATGATCAACTTGTCCATCAGCACTAAATTCCAAGCTACCCATTTTCACCACTACATCATATTCACCACTGCTACTAATGTTGATGGTAAAACTTCCAAAGGCTTCTGGCAGATACTGACTCTCTTAGGTGCTTCCAAAAGTTGGGGGTTTTTTGTCTTTTTAAAAAAATATATTTTACAAGCCCTATTTTTTAATTTCCATATGCTTATTAAATAGTGTTTATTAACAACTTATGTTGCTTCCATAAGCAGCATAAATACAGCTCAAGGAACAGAAGTAGCTCTAGAAACATCAAATTCTCACCTATATTCACAGGGTTTATATTGCTACAAAAAAGGAAAATATTTAGTGGCAGCTGGATGTTAACAGATGATGTGGTGAAAATAATTTAGACCTTCCAGCAATGTTAAAAACAAAACAAAATGAAACAACAGGAAAAGAAAGCTTTAACTGGTGTAATTCATTATTTTCAAAGTTTTTGAGTGTAAGGTTTCCCCTTTCTTTAGAAGACTTTTAAACAACAGGTCTTACACACACACACACCAACTACCTTCTGAAGCTTTTCTCTGTACCTCATTCTTGACCCAGAGACAAAGTTCTTCATCTTCACAAGCAACATCCATGGTATAGGTAGCTCTTCCTACTGAAGAGCGCTACTGAAACACATTGAAAAAAACTTTTCTCCCTCATCTGAGGAAGAGGGACTACAGACTGAGGAAGGGGAATTTCTCCTTAGTAATTGTCTTCAGCAAAATAAGTACAATAAAGTAATATCCAACACCTGTTGAGCAGGTAAAATCACATAGAATCACAGAATGGAAGGGATTGGAAGGGACCTCAAAAGACTGATATATTAAAATTGACTCAATGAGCAGAGGATCTTACACAGCACTTGGATACATTCAAATAAGCCTAATTCAAAGTTCCCCAAAAACAACAGAAATACTCCTTTCCTCCTCAAACTTCAATAAGCTTCAGTTAAGGTGCTTTTACATTTACATTTTCCAGTATCTGCAAGGGAAGATATTCAGGAGTTGATTTGTGCAAGTTTCTGGTGTTTTTCAATAACAAAGGGATAAAAATATTAAGGAAAGCATACCAACTGGGCACTGACCATCAATGGCAAAGCACCATGCTGTGCCACAAGAGCTAAGTCTGCATGACAAACAGAAAAATATGAAATGGCATGCGATTGCTATAAATTTCAAAAGCTTGACCAGAAATTGACTTCAACCTACAGTTCCTTGCCAAGACTACAGAAACAGGTAGAAAGGACCAAATTAACAGTATCCACGGAAACATTCCTCTTCTATTGCTTGTCCTTCAAAAAAATTTTGAAAGTTGAAACTTAAATGAATAAACCCTAAAAAAATGCACTAAATGTACGCATGGTTTCTGTTTCACCACAAAAGTTACCCCAAGCAGCATGTCCCTTGCAGCAAACAGAGCTTTCTGGAAGGACTGGTCACAACAGCACAAACCCAGGTATAATTTGTAAAACTTGTTTTTTGACAACTGATGCGATAGTTAAACTGAAACAGTTGCCCTAGAAACTTGTTTCTAGCCAAGTCATCCTAGAGATGCTGAGTTTCTTCAGGGAGGAGGGAGAACAGAAACATTTAGAGGCCATGCTGAGAACCAGAGACAGATCAGGTTAAACTCTCTACCCCAGGCTCATGAAGAGCCATAAAGACACAAGGCGACTTTGAGGTCTATAAATGGCGAATATCCTGTTCACTGAGCACAAACAGTGCAAGATATCTTTGAAGCAAATCAATTTATCAGGCAGATAAATAGACAGGACTTTTTTTTCCTTTTTTTTTTTTTTACCTATTTTATAACTATCTGATAATGTGTTGTTCTGAATTTTGCTTTACAGTTCCCTGAATCTACTTTGTATTTTCAGGGTATTGGCAGCTGTCAAAGCCCTGTATCACTTTAGACTAGCAAACCTTAAAAATTTGGGTGTGGGATTATTTTTCTACAATTCAGCATCTGACTACCTCCATAATTCCCAAAAGGCAGCAAATGATTCCACATTAGCTGCACTGCTGTTTGACAGTGGTTACGTCAAGGATCTGTGTGGCAGTACCTGTGAACAACAAGATAAGTTCTCTGGCAGAAGGAGGGCAAATTGGAAAGTACATCCCTTTGCAGTTTGTGACAATGTGAACTTGCAATAGGTGATAAAATAGATGGTGTGGTTTGTTTGTTTTTTTAAAAAAGAATGAACTTATGTTGAGAAAACACATCATAAGCAGTAAACTGCAATTACAGGGGAAAACGGGCACTACCTTTTTAAAGGACTCCATTATGTTTTCAATCCCATTCTCCTGTGATTTACTGTTGGTATAAACACACATACATGCACAGACACTTCCCATCCCTCACTTCCACTCCCAATAATAGCAAAAATAAACATGAAAAATAATATTAAAAAACTCTGTATTCAGTAATATTCACACCAAAGTATATGTATAGATATATCCATTAAAATTATGAACATTTCTAAATATATTTTATGTATCATACATATATTTATATGTATAATTACATATCCACAGAAGTAGTCTTGCTGTGCTAAAGCCAGCAGTAAAAGCAAAAACAGGTTTCACAATAGGACACCCATATATGCATATGTACTGGCTGTTTGGTTTGTGAATTTATTTACAACTTAACTATATCATAATAAATGCTTACTGTTCTATTGTACAAACGTAATAGTAAAGGTTTAGGTTTGTTTTTTAAATACAAAGACTGCAAATGAATACATGAAAAAAATTACACACCATGTACAGTATTTATAATTTATAAATGCAAAGTTAAGACCTCTTTAAATTATTGCACTTGCATATTTTTTTGTTTTTACAAAGATAGTTTATATGTATCATATATATATATATATGTGTGTGTGTAAATATATATATATATATATATAAAACAAATTTTTCAGCTCACTAAATGTAGTAAAGTTGAATGTTGTTACCTTGAAGTTCTTTCTTCTTCACGTAACAGCCCAACCTGAATTTTGAATATATATGAATCTACTCTACAAATCAGTTTGATCTACCCTAGAAAGCAGTCCATTATTTTAGGGTTTTTTGACAGAGTATACACCCGTATTACAATCGAGCACAGTTTTTGGTCAGAAAGCAAAATAAGAGTTATGATGTGCCTTTGCTAGACTGGGATATATAACCTAAAGTTTGAACATGAACTTTGTTGTAGTAGTATGCAGAAAGCTTTTTCCGTGTTTAGAATGAACAAATTCATCGTTTCACTTCACAGAACTGTTCCTGTATCACAGTGTTTGAGGCAAATGCATTATTTCAAGAGGGTCATAATTGTTTTGAGCATCTAACAATCTCTACTTTTTAACATGAATAGTGCTATTTGCTATCCCTACAATTTTAACACTAAATGCTCTAAATGCAGTCACAGCAAACTGATCGCACTGTTCTAAGTTTAAACACATGAAAGAAGTCTGTGCCACAGAGAAAGATGAATTCCACACTGCATGTCCCCTCCAATGTAAATGTTTTATCATATACTCCAACTAAAATAAGTATTGCATTTCTCTAGTGTAACAACTAACTGGCCACTTATAAAAAAAAATATTGCCATGAGTTGAACCATTACAGCAGAATGTTGTACTACTGTACAAAATTTATAAATTAATTATAACAGTGGAGTTTCTGTCAGTGCTGTAATAAAATGAGTAAAAGATTAATTAAAAGCTTTCCATAACACAGACACAACGTGATAAGGAATATTTTTGCAACGCTTGTAAGATCAGCATTCAAAGAGGGAGAATAACAGCAAATATACCGAACCCCCGAAGGAAAAATGTTCCATCCAGTTGTTGGGGTATCTGAATTTCAGAGAATATTTTTGTAGTCACCATAGATTTGGATAATTTTCATGTAAATATTAGGAACTGTGGTGTCTCAGGTACTTAGCGGACAAAAGGTTGCATCTACAAGATTTAGCTAAAAGAGTAAAGGAGTAAAGGAGTAAAAAAGCGGACACAGCATGAGATACCACTCATTCTACTTTGGTGTAATTGTTTCCTCCATTTTTTTTTAAATCCAAAATAGTTTGCTGTGGTTAACAATGAATTTCTGCACTTAGAATTGGCAAAGCAAACTGAAAAAAATATAGGGCTGCTGCTAGGTAAACTGTATCATACAAATAAAATAACTTCTTATTGAATTCTCAACCTCTGGGATACCTATGTACTGCAAAGGCTTAGGCTTATTTATATATTATGTGATTATGTATCACATACTGTACACATGTACAGATACTGGTATGTGCTCGACCATAACAGAAGGCAAAACTCAAGAGTCCAAGTCATTTACACGAAACCCATAAGATGGCAAGCTTATCAGAGCAATACAGCTCAATAGACATGAGGTGGAAAATGAGAACCTCTGTTCTGTCTTTAAGTCACTACTATTATTTGTTGCAATTACACAAATGGCCATGTTATCACGGAACCACTACAAGAGTGTATTATCTGTGAAAAAGTATATAATGCAGTATAGGCTGTATGTGAAAGGTATGCAAAGACTGTGTTTTCACCTACTGTGTGTGGATCAACATTAAGATATTTTTCTAATTATTTTTAAGAGAAAGATGAAGGCAAATTAAACATTGTTGAAACACTCTGTACAATTGCACTAATTTTAAAAGAGTGGCATTAAATGTAAGGTCTTAAAGTCTGTGCATAAGTTTGTAAGGCTGAAGCCTATGTCAGCACAGAACTGTAAACACAGTATTTTAGAGTACTTTTTTTCATTCTGCTACTTTTTCATTGAGAAAAGCAGTTCTAAGCCTGGAAATTTTGCTGAACTAGGGGGGAAAAAAACAAACAGACAAATGGATAAGTTTCCTAACTTCACTCATCTTCAGATGGGGGGAAAAAGCAGTAGAAGACATGCAGTGTTACTGTGCAACACAAAAGCTAGTCAATACAAAAACATTTTTGATTTATTGTGATGGTACCACAATGCCTCCTATCGGATCTGACTTTTCTGACAAGGCTTTTGTTCCCAGCAGATAGCATACTTCAGGTATGTCTCTAATACCTTTTAAAATACAACTCAGCAGGTAGAAATAAAAATGATGACTTTACTTAATCGTGAGCTTGGCAAGGAAATCTTTGCTGTCACATTTAAATTTTAATCTGATACTTCTGTCACTATGGATACAAAAACTCAAACCTGAAACTCTCTCATATATCAGAGATAAATATCCAGTACTTCCAGGGTTTTGAGCGAGGAGTTGTCTAGCTTTATAAATCATTCTGAAGAACAAACCACTGTCATTAGTTCTTTCAACATTTGCCTTGTGAGTGACAGACAATTTGCATCATGATGCTTACTTAATGAAGTACTTTAAACCTTTAACCAGAATGTTGGTTTTCCTTTAGTTTGCAGCAAGAGAATTTCCTGTAACCTAAGCATGAATTATAGTCTCCAAGGATTCTGCTGGAGTTCAAACTGATTACAAGTAGATCACACATAAACATTCACAATAGCAATAGGTATATTGTTCTATTTATAGCCAAGAACTCCCAAGTGACACTGGTGTCAAAGCCAGCCACAGTACAGTATAATAAAAGTACCATTGAAACCCTCACTAGAAAGATACAATTTAGAAGTACCCCCTAAGAGTCTTCCCCCCCCCAATCAGTTTTAAATTAAGGCCTCAGCAATGTAGCCCATGAGATAAGGCCAGTCTTTTATATTCAGAAGTTGTAAGTTCTCTTTTGATAGCTGATTCCAAAACATCTGGGTTGTCATTTTCTCTCTGTTCACGTTGTGTCACTGGTGTAGGTCAGGAGATTGGCTGCCAGCGTCATTTAGCTGAGGTAACTCCATAGGTGTTACCTTCGTAGGCAGATCTGCTTCTTAGTTAGCATTTTGTAGCTTTTCATTTTCTTTTTTTTTCCCCCAAATAAAAATGAAACAAACAAAAAAATCCCCAAAACAATAAGGGATGCTTTTCGGGTTAAAGCAATCGCTGCTGTTCAGTCATCAATCTTCACAGGTAGTGAATCTGAGGTCCCAGGAGTAAAGGACTGGGAAGAAATCCATATAGAGGCTTCCTCACCTCTTGTTACTTTCTCCCATTGGTTGAGATTGTCCCTGGAGATGAAAAAAAGTCAAAGAGGTAAAGCACTGTTCATAAGTTTACTAGGATTTCTTCTTAAAAATACTGTCAGCTGTACTATACTGCTGTGCATAAGTACTTGTACATCATCAAGCTTCTATCATCTTTACATTATTGTATTCTTTACCTTCAGTTATTCCATTTTGTTATTCTGTGTGGCTCATGTCCATGCTGACTAGATACAAGCCTATGGCATACCTTCCCCAGAATGAGCCCTGGAGCTAGCAGCTAGCACCTGTTTCCATTACAACTTTATAGCCTTCATAGCTGCAGAGACAAACCAGCTGTGACCCAACAGAGACACGTCTGCAGAGACTCTGAAACAGAAGTCTGGAGAGAAGTAGCCTTCATCACTTTACACTTCAGGGATTTTACCACAGCATACTCTGGCCCTTTTCGAAACCACCACAGATACCAGGACTTTTGCCAGGAAACTTCCTTCACTGGAAACCACAGAAGCGCATTAAACTTTCTGAAACTCCTGCACATGGGCTGCCTGACAGTGTATAAGATGTTGCAAGCCAACATCATAGTATCGACTTTCAATTACTAATGTGGTGATCATCCTGTCAATCTACTGCATTTAAAGTGTACCCCTTCCCCAAGACAGATTTTTTTCTTAGTGTCTCAGAGCCTGGCCAACACCCAAGTCCAAATTTTTGTTCACAAGCCGTAAAATGATGAGAAATTAAGCTGGCAGTGTTCTAATGATCTGAAGGGAGTACAGACCCATTATTTTACTGTAGGCTAGTACCACTCTAGTGTCTTGGAAGTCTATGTTGATGATATCCAATAGCAGACCATACTTGCAACCTATGGCCAAAGCTAGTATTCAGTTTCCAAAGACAGAGAGAAAGAGAGAAAGCGCAACTGTTTCAATTTCTTACTGTCAGATACCCTAGTTACTGAAACAACATTCTTAGATGTCTTCAGTAAACAAACAGGATGGTAAAAGCACTGAGGTCTTACATGCTATGTGTCATACTATCATATTACATCAGAATTTATGTGGCAGAACTCTTTTGATTTTTATGTCACAGTTTTGCTGAAACAGTTTCCAAAACAGCAAATAATGAGCTGAAAGCACAGTGAACAGGTAAGAAGAGAAAATGTTGCATTTTCTGCAGGATCTGATGGAGTCTACCGAAGAAAGCTGGTGCCCTCTAGGGGAACACCTACACCATTTTCTGCGGGCAGATGGAATCCTGCTCTGCCAGTGCTCCAGGCCAACTGGAAGTCATGAAGCCAGCGTTAATATGGAGCTGAATCCCAGTTAACACGATCGGGTACTAAGGATCAGAAAACCTGAACCGTCACTATTTCTATGTCCCTTTCCTGAAACTGGGAAAGTAATGAGTAGAATTGCAGCCAAAAAAAATTATATCTTTTTGATTTTAGCAAGAATTGCGAGACCTGAAAGCACATAGATAATTGTTTAAAATTATTTGGCCCAAAATAAAGAAAAAAAAAAATCACTTCACCTCATCCTCAAAATAAATATTCTATCATAGATTTGTCACTTTGGTAGGCCTACTGAGTATGGGGGCTACAAAACACACATAAGACTTATTATAAGAATAAGACATTCTTCTAATTATAAAACTTATTAGAAGAATAAGACTTATTCTGAACACTGTAATACAGGTGCCTGGAAGTTTTGATCTACACAGAAGACAAGAGAGTATTTAAAAATGGGGAATAAATTACCAGAAAAGAATAATCTAGATTCTTAGCTACTGCCTTACCTCAGGGAAATCAGTGACTGATTTTTTTTTATTATTTTTTTTAATTCCTTAAAGATGCAGATAGTACAATTCATTTGCCTTTGTGCTCCCAATGAAGCCCTGGCTCCTAACTGTCTGCAATAAATGCCCAGAGGCTCTCAAAATAAAAACCTTGATGCTGACATGCTGCTTTGGCTGCTTCTGCTGCTATTCTTTGCAGCTGGTGTCTGTGTTACAAACAACTCAAGGACGTGGCAGCTTAAACACTGTGTTCCAAGTACAAGCACTGCTGGTGAAGGGCCGATATCAAAATTGGTTCAGTCGGCAGCTAAGGCAATACCAAAGAGGAAAGAGGCTGTATTCCTCCATCAAACTGAATAAGTTACTTGTCAAAAACAAAGGAAAAGAAAGTGTAGTGCAAAATCATGTATCTGAAACACTCTGGAATAACCTAAACCCTGCAATAACACCCATTTTAGTAATTGGGGAGTTGAAGTTAGATCTATATTCTTGATTTCCTGCTCTGCATCTCCAAGTCTGAACTCTCAACACTTTCTCCTTAACCCCTCAAAATGACAGCAGAGGGTAATTCAAGGGTAATTTAAAACTGTCAAACTGCTCTTCAGAAGACTTTATGCCAGGGTATGAATTTTCAGGAAACCCTTTAGTCTTATGGAGATCTTAAACCCCATCCACACATCTATGTCCCAGTTCTGTATCAATGCAATCTAAATTAAGGAATTCACAAGAGCAGGGTGGGGAGCTGTGTCTGTACAGAGTTGTGCCCAGTCTGGAGACTGTGCCAGTGTAGCTTTCAGAAGTAACAGTACTATAACCATAGCTGGAATTCCAAACAGCAAACGTAAGTTTGTTATATGAACAGAAGTTCATATAATCTCTGCCAGGAGTCTGACTGCTTTTACTTCAGACATCACAACTTTTGCAGAGAAACCCACTCTTGAAAAGATGTTAACGCTTGATCTTCAGAAGCATAAAGAACCTTTCATCTAGAACACATATGTATGTGGGTGCTTGATACTCTACCATTCAACCTTAAATGTCCTCAGCTGAGTACTGAAAGATGGACTGTCAAGTATTACATGCCCCTTTTGCCTCATTTAGATATCCTTATGGCTAGAAATCCAAATATATGGGTCCTCGCAGAACCCTACTCCTGAAAAAGATCCTGTGCAGTCTTAAGCACTCAACTTAGCCTCTCTAAGCATCAGTTCCCATTAGTGGAATTCCCATAAGTGGAATAACAATGCCAACTTCTTACCAAAGGTACTGGTAGGCTTATGCAAATGATTCTGCAGTAAATACAAACCCATTCTTAAGACCTCCCATTTGATTGTGCTAGTAACAGAACTTTCCTGACAGTGACATGCAGCACCAATGTTAATTAACCATACAGACTCTATGGAAGACATTTTCATGTTAAAAGCATATATAAAGTGATTTGGGGCATAAAAGTACACCCAGATGTTGACAAGTCATACAACAGAAATAAAAATTTTCACATATATAAAGCAGTTAGAGTATATTTGTTAGCTTGAATAGAAAAACTGTAAACACTCATGATAAGCATTACTGCATTTCTAATGGTGAGTATTACAGTTGATGCTGTTTAGTCCATGTAAACTACAAAACTCTTTCTGCCTGAAAACATGGTTATGCAAAGCACAATCTGTGTTCCAGTTACACGGGTCGATTAACCGACCATTTAGCTTTCAGCCATCAATACAGCTGAAGCAATATGAATTCAAGCAAGGATTAGAAAGAAGTTAGAAAACTTCTAAGATCTCAGACTACCACTCAGTAAAGCAGCTGGATGACTCACGACCTTGTGAAGACTGAAAGGATTACAAGCAGTTCTGTAGTTTACTTCATATTCTCAGATTTCACACTGAAAGCAACTTTTCTTTATTTGTCAGAATACACATTATTCAATTATCTATAATCAAACTATCAACATGTATATATTAGGTCAACACAGCTCAGGGAGTACACATTCCTACCTCGTACTGTAACTCTGAATTCCAAAACAAGATTTGGAGTCTGACACCATTATGACCGTAACACGCTCTACAGCACTTTGAAACTAGAGAAGAGTTTAATGCTATATTGCAACACATGGAACCACTAAAATATGCACTTATGAATAGAATACTTCCACATTACTCAATTAGGATAACAAATTACTGCCTATTATTTACTAGACATTGTTACTTTCATAGCTTCTAAGGACAAAAGACACTATTATCGGGATCACCTAGCCTGACTGCCCGGAAAAGACAGACCTTGGCAATTTCATCACAGTAACTACGCTTCAGATGTATACCCCTTTTACCTCTCTCTTTTAAAATGTATAGCTAGCCTTGATTTAAGATCTTCAACTGACATTATTCCAAATGCTTAAAAAGACATTCACCATATTCCTTGGTTGAAACTTTGGGCTTCAAGTAGTCTTTACCTGCTAAATTAACGAGCTTTGTCTAATCAGAAAACGTACTATGGAGACAGTTACAGATTTTGATAAAGTCATTCTCTTGGATAAACTACAACACGTGATGTCAGATTTTTTTAGTCTCTTACTACTAAGATCTCAAAACATTCTTTAAGCTCTTTCTTAATCATCTTATTTGTTAGTGTCTTTTTTTCCTACTCTTCTTAAAGCACGGACACTAAACAGGATTCCAGCTGTAGCCCCATTAATGTAATAACTACAGAGGTACAGCCTCTAATCCTACTTAATTTTCCCTCCATATCCATCTAAGGGCACAGCCATGCCCAGCAACGGCACCTTAGAGGCACTTGACTATTAATGATGGCCCCTAAAGATATTCAGGGATTTTTGTGGGGGTTGTTTTTTTGTTTGTTTGTTTGTTTTAAGACAGTCCTCTTTCCCACTGGTAAAGACCTACTTATTCCTCTCATAGCTTTATGAAATAGTGTTTGGGTGTGAATGAAATTATTTTGCTAACCACTACTTTCAATTTCATGGCATTTTGTATACAGTGGGCAGCCTTCTGTTACTTAACATAGATCATTTAGCTCACAAGATCAGGAAAGTGACTGTACATAAATCTGCCATACAGCACGAAGAAAAAGTTTAATGCAAGCTAGAACTTAAGGACCACAAGAGGAAAAAAAAAGATTATGAGAGAGGTGCTAGTAAGAGCATAGAAAAATGGGCCTCTTTTCCCTGACTAAACATTGCTGGCAATTTATGAACCAACTGTTTTTCCTCAGAGAATACTGATTAACCTGAAACTGGAACATTCTCATGAAGCATACTGATTTCAACAGAAGTTTTGTCAG